CCCCGGGGGAGGCAGCGCTGCCCGGCCCGCGCGGAGCGGGCAGCACCCACCCGCCTGCCCACCCCGTTTCCCCCCGGGGTCTCTCCTCCCCTTACAAATCTCCGTGTTCCTTTCATGCCGCTCTTCAAACCGACCCTCGCTTTGCTTCAAAAGTCTCACAAAGGCACACGCTCCCACATTCCCGTCTTAACAGGCCTTGTCCAAAAGCAGGCCAGGCAGGCACCCTCACGCCCAGGTATAAACTGAAGTCTGTACAGACACATTGTTCTCTTCAACACATGCACCCACAGTTGCAAAAGGGAGGCCGTATTCCTGCCTGTGGGATTACGCCTATTTTTGCATTTTCACTTTTCAGTTTGCCCATTATAGCAGAGTATTACAGTGAAGCTAAATATATAATATAGGGAGCAAAGTATACAATGATTTTATCATCATAATACCAAGAATTTCTATCAGTAATTGAAACTGAGTTACGCTAGTCAAAGCAAAGCAATACAATGTATTTCCTGAGGCAGTATAGTTGCCTTTTTACTGTGTATATTCACCAGGGGTGAAATTCAGCCCTCTGCAGACAAGGCAGCAAAAAGCCGATCAGATTCTTCAAATCCACTCCAAGCTCCATTATAAAGAATTAAGTGGCACTTAAATGATACAGAGGCTTTGTGCAGACCTTCTGCAAAGAACTGAATTTCATCTTAAGAATCTGAGCTGACACCACTTTGCATCTCCTCAGAAGGGCTGTGCCCCTTCACTTAAACTGAAGTTAATAGGAACTGACAGTGCCCAGCACATGGTAGAATCACTTTCCTGGGTAGTACCATTTGAACTGGAGACCAAACGGAGTCTATCCAAGGGTTTTTCATACAAACAGTTCTGAGGTGTTGCAGGCAAGCACAGGTTATATCAACATGATGCCAAGCTACCCACTGAAGCATTTTTAACTGTTTTGTAAGATAGCGGAATTTTCAATGGATTTCCAGTTATTAGTAAAAATAAATAAAGCCTCTATTCATGATCAGTATAGTCCAATTTAAGACTGTTCAACTGGGTAGTGTTTCAGAACACCACAGATATTATTTTCTGCTAAATACTGCAACTATGATATGTTTTGTCATTAAGCTTCTCACCTGGTTTAACGTTATTTATATACTTTCCTATAGAAAACCAGCTTTATTTTCTATACTTTTCACACATTCACTCTGCATTCAGGCCGTTATCAATTGCTGCATCTCTAGTTAATCTCATAACTGAAAATCATGAATTTTTTGTGATAGCAAAAAAGTGAGATAAATCTTGTTCAGCAGCAGTAAATGCAAAAACTTAGCAGCCATCCAAAACATGTTAGATTAAAACACTCAGTTTGTTACAGTTTGTTTTCTCTTTTTTTTTTTTTTTAAATGTTGGAGAATGAACTTGGAAATAAAAGTAAAAATGTATATTATTTTTTCATCAAATAAGAATATTGATTAAAACAGCATTTGGATGCTGAGACTTATGATTCAGAATACATCATGCTCCTATGCATAAAAGGTGGTGTGTGAACTGAATATTTACAAATCATAATGAAAACCATGGTAGAAGAACCTAAATAAAGTAAAAAAAAGAAGGCTTAGTTAACGTTTATCAGTCAATTCCAGATGCCTGAAGTAGCGAATGGAAGATTCTTTGTAGTGGGGAGTAGGGATAACTTCTTCTAAGCCTACACAGAATATACCATCTTGAAACATGCTTCTTAAATGAGAGCTTAGCTCACCTATACTTCTTATAGAATGATGTTTTCCTTCACGTTATATTTTTCAATGATAACTTGTAGCACTTAATGAAAGGTGTAAAGTATGCATTGGAGAAAATATTTCCTTTTTGATTTCCATACATTATTTCACTGTTGTTTTCCTTGAACTTCAGAGAAAGCTGATCGGCATAGCTGATTCCCAAAGTTCAGAAATGCCTTTGGATTCATCAGTTTAGATGTAGCTGACAAACACATTTCTCCTAGTGTTGCTCTCTTGCCCTAT